TCCCTCCAAAATTGCCCAAATCCGAGCTTTCTAACTCAAAAAGTGATTAAATAACAAAAACCCTCGAAATAGAGTAAATACAAGTCATCCCAGGTATTGCTCATCGCAATCGGGGAATGGCCTTCGCAATTGCGAAGATAAAACTCAACAGCTGCCCAAAACGTTCTACGCAAACGCGAACTACCTGTCGCGAACGTGGTGACCAAGATCACAGCCCTTACGCGAACACGTCTCCAAGCACATGAACGTATAAGCCCGAGTACACACTCATCACCTCATGTACACGTCTTTCACGTAATTCAAATAGTGTAATTAGACCAAATCCTACGGGGTAGTTTCCCCCACACAAAGTTAGGCAAGATACTTAACTCAAAGAAGCTAAATCTATATACTAAGAAGCCCTTCCCGTGTGAAACAACCTCTGAATGGCTCGAATCTGCTTAAAATAACTTAATATCATAAATAAAAGCCATAAAAAATAACTACGGATAATAAAGTTTCGATCTTTAATAAAAACCAAAAAGTCAACTCAAGAAGTCAACCCCAGGCCCACACCTCGGAACCCGGCAAAACCAACAAAATCCGAACACCCATTCCGATACGAGTCCAACTATACCAAACTCATCCAATTACGACTTCAAATCATCATTTTATATTTTAGAAAAGTTTTACAAAAATCCTCAATTTCTCCAATTCAAATCACTAATTTAATGATAAAAACAAAAATGAAATCATGAAATATAACCATATCCGACTCAAGAATACTTACCCCAATCCAAAACATAAAAATTCTCTCCAAAATTGCCCAAATCCGAGCTTTCTAACTCAAAAAAGTGATAAAATAACAAAAACCCTCGAAATAGAGTAAATACAAGTCATCCCAGGTATTGCTCATCGCAATCGCGGAATGGCCTTCGCAATTGCGAAGATAAAACTCAACAGCTGCCCAGAACGTTCTATGCAAACGCGAACTACCTGTCGCGAACGAGGTGACCAAGATCACAGCCCTTACGCGAACGCGTCTCCAAACACGTGAACGTAAAGGGCAATTGCCTGCCCTACCTGCCTTTCCTTAAGCGCGATCGCGGCACCTAGCACGCGAACACGAAAGCAACAGTCTTCCAAGCTTCACGAACGCGGTTGTCTCTTCGCGACCGCAAAGAAAAAAATGTCTGCTGCCAAAATCTCTCTACGCGGACACGACTCCTTAGTCGCGATTGCTATGAAGAACACTAGATATCAGCTGACAGCAAACCCAAAACAACGAGAAATGACCCGTAGCCCATCCGAAATATACCTGAGGCCCCCGCGACCCAGTCCAATCATACCAACCAATCCCATAACATAATACGGACTTGTTCGAGGCCTCAAATCACATCAAACAACATCAAAACTACGAATTGCACCTCAATTGAAGCCTAATGAACTAATCATCTTTCAATTTCTACAACTCATGTCGAACCATATCAAATAAACTCTGAATGACCTCAAATTTTGCATGCAAGTACCAAATGATACAACGGACCTATATCAACTCCCAGAATCACAATCCAAACCCGATATCAACAAAGTCAACTCCTGGTCAAACCTCTCAACCTTCCAAACCTTCAACTTTCTATCTTTTGCCAAAAGCATCAAATCAACTACAGACCTCCAAATCAAAATCTGGACGTATGCCTAAGTCTAAAATAATCATACGAAGCAATTGAAATCATCAAAACATCATTCTGAAGTCGTCTATATAAAAGTCAAACTCCGATCAACTCTTACCACTTAACCTTCTAAATCAAGGATCATTTTTCCAAATCAATCCTGAATCGCCCGAAAACCGAAACAGACCATAAACGCAACTCATAATATATATAATATGAAGCTTCTCAAGACCTTAAACCACCGAACGAAACTCTAAAGTTCAAAATGACCGATCGAATCATTATATCAGGTTTGCACTAGACTTGACATAGCTTTTGCTGTAAACGTCCTTGGTAGATACTTATCCGATCCTGGTCATGATCATTGGGTTGCAACCAAGAAGGTCATGAGATATCTTCTTAATACTAAAAACTATATGCTAATCTACAAAAGGGTTTCTAGTCTTGAAATAGTGGGTTATTCAGATGCTGATTTTGGCGGGTGTACAGATGATTATTAGTCCATATCTGGTTACATTTTCACACTTCCTAGTGGTGCTATTTCTTGGAAGAGCATTAAATAGACGTTGGTTACATCATCGACAATGTATGCTGAGTTTGTGGCTTGTTATAGTGCATCCACTTAAGTTGTTTGGCTCCGAAATTTTATTTCAGAACTCAGAGTTGTTGACTCAATTCAGAGACCCATTGTAATCTATTACGATTACAATGCAACTGTGTTCTTTTCTAAGAATAATAAGCTACGTAGTGACATCAAACACATGCAAATCGAGTTTTCGACAGTTAGAGATCTGGTAAAGCAAGGAGACATTATTATTTAGAATATTCATGCAAACAAAATCCTAGCTGATCCACTAACTAAAGGTCTCAGGCCCATTGATTTTAAATGTCATGTTATAAATATGGGTGTTGTAGAGTCTTTTGGTTCTTTAGTTTAGTATGAGTTTTAATATTTTGTGGTTGTGAATATTTATTATATGAAATGAAATGCCCATTTATTATTATATATTATTTTTATGATGCATCATTTCTGTTCACATTATTTGTAAGACACATCATCGTATCTTGAGGTAAAAATAGGTTCGCCTAAGGGTTTTTCAGATGTGCTAATATATGCAACTGTATTCGCTATATATATTGGATGTATTTCAGTAATACGCTATCTTGATATGAAAACTGGTTCGTCCAGGATGTTATTCACTTTTGGTACGTGATGCAATTCTGTAATACGGTATCTTGAGCAAAAATTTGGTTCGCCCAAAATGTGCACCTGTTATATGACTTTATGACATATAGAGGACCGATAAGGTAATAATGCATGAGAACATACTTTTGTATCACATGTGGTACTATTTCTTGCTACACTACTAGATCATGATCTTGTTGACTTAAGAATGTTGTGATTATGGAAGTTTATGTTGTCACGCCCCCAACTCACCCTCCGTAGGATGTCGTGATGGCATCTAGTCTCTAAGACTAGGTAAGCCTAACAATTTTGTGGAATAACATAATACAAAACTGAAGACCAATTCTCAACACATGAAATAAATATAAAACTGCAATTCAATAATTACAACTTCCAAAACCCGGTGGAAATAAGTCACAAGCTTCTAAAAGAAAATACTAAGTGTCTCTATATATCAAGTCTAAATAGAATAAGGGAAAACAATATAATAAAGGTAGAGGGGGACTCCGAGGTCTGCGGACGCTGGCAGATATACCTTAAAGTCTCCACGTGTAGTCCAACTCACTGGTATCTAGTCTGGTGGGAAGAACCTAGATCTGCACAAAAAGATGTGCAGTAGTGTAGTATAAGTACACCACAAAGGTAGTAAAAATGGCGTGTGGTAGCCACTAAATAAGGTGGTGTTTATTTTTTATCCACCAATTCTAATGTTGAGCAAAAATAGTCACTACTCTATTAAAATTAATATAAAAAGATATTTTTACCCTTTCTTCTATTTCTTTTATTCCCAAACCCTTCCTTTATACGCTTCTCTCATTTAAGTTCAGAGCCAAAATTTCATAGGCAAAATTTCGCTCCCTCAATATCGTTCCTGCATGTAACACTCTTCTCTCGATTGAAGTTCAGAGCAAAAATTTCATAAGCAAAATTTTGCTCCCTCAATATCGCTCCTGCCCAGCCCACAACAATTTTCTGCGTATACTTTGTCCAACTTAATCTCTTCTCATTTGTCATCCTCTCTGCAGCGAACTAGCGTACTGGTATGTTTTCGATTTTGCTTTTATGCATTTTTTATTTTGTATATCTCTAATCATGATCAATGCTGTATTTGTCATCAAGTATGTGTGAAATGTCCAAAATAATAATTATAACTTGATTCGCTGAGGAATAAGGTGCAGATTTTTGTGAGAAAGTTATTGAGAACCTTTTGGTATTGAAATGTGTTTGTGGTTCAATCAATATATTGATTATGTAAGGACATTTCAGAAAAATAGTCCTAAAAATTTGTAAGCTAACTGTGTTTAGGAATTTTAGTTAATTGTGCTTCTATTAAAGATGCATCTAATTAGGTCCTGGATTTTAGTTTTTTAGTTTAAATATTAAGGACATTTCAGAAAAATAGTCCTACGAATTTGTAAGCTAATTTTAGTTAATTGTGCTTCTATTAAAGATGCATCTAATTAGGTCCTGAATTTTAGTTTTTTAGTTTAAATATTAAGGACATTTTAGAAAAATAGTCCTAAGAATTTGTAAGCTAATTTTAGTTAATTGTGCTTCTATTAAAGATGCATCTAATTAGGTCCTGGATTTTAGTTTTTTAGTTTAAATATTAAGGACATTTCAGAAAAATAGTCCTAAGAATTTGTAAGCTAATTTTAGTTAATTGTGCTTCTATTAAAGATGCATCTAATTAGGTCCTGGATTTTAGTTTTTTAGTTTAAATATTAAGGACATTTCAGAAAAATAGTCCTAAGAATTTGTAAGCTAATTTTAGTTAATTGTGCTTCTATTAAAGATGCATCTAATTAGGTCCTGGATTTTAGTTTTTTAATTTAAATATTAAGGACATTTCAGAAAAATAGTCCTAAGAATTTGTAAGCTAAGTTTAGTTAATTGTGCTTCTATTAAAGATGCATCTAATTAGGTCCTGAATTTTAGTTTTTTAGTTTAAATATTAAGGACATTTTAGAAAAATAGTCCTAAGAATTTGTAAGCTAATTTTAGTTAACTGTTCTTCTATTAAAGATGCATCCAATTAGGTCCTGGATTTTAGTTTTTTAGTTTAAATATTAAGGATATTTCAGAAAAATAGTCCTANGTTCTGTGGTAGACTTATTCATTGTGTGTTGCTTTCAGAAATTATAAGCAATGACTCGCATTCAATGACATTCAAGGTTTTTAATCATGAAGTGAAGTTTACACGTGAAGCGTTCCAGATAATTACTGGGTTGAAATGTTCTTCTTCAGTGGACTTCAAAATTTTACGTGAAAGAGAGAATAGGATTTCGAAAGTCTACTTCCCAGGAAAGGATAGAATCGAGTTAGGCAATTTGTGGCATTTTATTACTAGTCACCCATATGGTACAACTGCATCATTTGTAGGCAGCCATAACGATACGGTGAAGTTGGCAACAATTTATTTTTTTGAATATGTGTTGATGGGGAAGTGCAAGAATCGGAATGTGTCTGAGCGGGTAATGAAAATCGTAGATGACGATGAACTCTGCTCTTCTTTCAATTGCGGCTCTCTTTGTTATGAAAAGTTACTAAAATCATTGAAGAGCTGCTTGAAGCCCAAACAAAATACTTCAGACAATGAGAATGAGAATGAGAAAGAGAAAGAGAAAGATAAAGAGAAGGACAGTTATATTATACTTGGCTTCCCTTTCGCCTTCCGTGTTTGGATTATGGAAGAATTCCCAATTTTTCAAGAAAAATAATTTGTGAACTTCAGAGAATGTGGGTTCCCCCGGATGCTATGTTAAGCGGGTTGTCGGCAAGCGTGACGAGATCTTTCCGTACCTTCGCTTAATTCACCAATTTTACTAACAACAAGGGCTCAAATAGCAATGGATACCATTCAGATATGAAATCTCCACATTATGACACCCTATGTAAAAAGTACTTCCATAATGAAAAAGTAAGTTAACAGGATTACTAGCGATTTTTTTATTTATGTGTTTTAGTTCTGAATACTTACATTTTTTTTTCTTATATAATAGTTGTATCAGTTGCTCGAGATGGTACCATTTCTTTCTTTTGAAGTAGATGCGGAGCCCACTAGTGTGCATGTGCCATTGTCTCAAGATCAAAGTTCAATGCCTTCAACACAATTTGATGAAGTCTTGCTTAAGGAAATTGTTAACGTAGGTTTTCTGTCTTTGAATACCATTAGTTTTTTATTTGCTTATTTTTGCTTAAGAGACTTTTTGTTTATATGGTTTTTGATTTAGAGATTATCGGAGAAGTTCAAAAAGGATATGGAGGTAGAATGTACTAGAATACATCAAAAAATAGCTTTATCAGAAAAAAAGGATTCAAAATGACATCAAGGTAATATCCTTAATTTCCGTAAGTTAAGGATACCATGTCCTTAATTTTTTAGCTTGTAACTCTAAGTTCAAGACTACATGTCCTTAATTTCTGTGCTTCTCACTCTAAGTTAAGGATACCATGTCCTTAATTTTTTAGCTTGTAACTCTAAGTTCAAGACTACATGTCCTTAATTTCTGTGCTTCTCACTCTAAGTTAAGGATACCATGTCCTTAATTTTTTAGCTTGTAACTCTAAGTTCAAGACTACATGTCCTTAATTTCTGTGCTTCTCACTCTAAGTTAAGGATACCATGTCCTTAATTTTTTAGCTTGTAACTCTAAGTTCAAGACTACATGTCCTTAATTTCTGTGCTTCTCACTCTAAGTTAAGGATACCATGTCCTTAATTTTTTAGCTTGTAACTCTAAGTTCAAGACTACATGTCCTTAATTTCTGTGCTTCTCACTCTAAGTTAAGGATACCATGTCCTTAATTTTTTAGCTTGTAACTCTAAGTTCAAGACTACATGTCCTTAATTTCTGTGCTTCTCACTCTAAGTTAAGGATACCATGTCCTTAATTTTTTAGCTTGTAACTCTAAGTTCAAGACTACATGTCCTTAATTTCTGTGCTTCTCACTCTAAGTTAAGGATACCATGTCCTTAATTTTTTAGCTTGTAACTCTAAGTTCAAGACTACATGTCCTTAATTTCTGTGCTTCTCACTCTAAGTTAAGGATACCATGTCCTTAATTTTTTAGCTTGTAACTCTAAGTTCAGGACTACGTGTCCTTAACTTTATAACTTGTAACTCTAAATTCAGGACTACATGTCCTTATTTTTTTAACTTGGAACTATAAGTTAATGACTACATATCCTTAATTTATGTGCTTGTAACTTGAAGTTTAGGAATATTTGTCCTTAACTTTTTAACTTGTAACTCTAAGTTCAGAACTACATGTCCTTAATTTCTGTGCTTGTAACTCTAAGTTAAGGACCAAGTGTCCTTAATTTGT